ACGAAGAGAAAAACTACCCGAAAAAGAGAGTCAGAGCATGTGGACGAAGGTAGACAGATCATACACCAAATAGGAGCAACCCCGTCACGCCGGCAAAGCACTCGAATTGGAAATCCACATTCAAAACATCACGAGTACAGATATATGTGGCGTCCCTCGACGCGTTTCGTCTGCGCCGCAAACAGACTCTTAACGAGCAAACTAATGGGGCCTTAAAGTTATCTAATGCATTCCCCCTTTATAGATAGGTACTCGAGTCCTACCCTCCACACTGGAATCCTACACTTCAACTCCATAATATTATCTCGACCACACGCATGACGGGTGGGTGACACGGCCAATCAGAGGCATCGGACGGCAAGATTGACATCGCACAACGCATCAATCGAGACAGAAGCAGCAGATCCGAAGGCTTAGCAGCCATCCTTGAGAAGAGCGTCGTCTCTGAGTACCTGCCTAGGCAAACAACAGAGCCACATAACGCACAAAAACGAGTGTCTCGATCAAATTAGCGTTCGCACTAGATGATGCAGTGCAGCTCAGGGGATGGCAAAAGGTCACCAATGTATGGCTGGCTGAGAAGCCAGCGGAACACCGCCCGGACCACCGTGTTCGTACAAGCACATCACGAAGTGAAGATGCAGATCATGCATGGCGTCTGCGCTGAACGCTGCGCTGCATCGAAGAACAACCGTCAGAGCGCAACGCAAAAGAGGATGGTCATCTCATGCGCTGTATGTAAATACCCGTCCAGTGGCCCACTCCTTAATATGGCACCTGTCAGCACGCGGTACTCCATCAACCGTTTCTGTAGCTTGTAAGTTGTAGCTGTGTGTCCGAAAACGGATTCAACGGAGAGTCCGCATTAAATTTCCATTGATTTGGAGTTTAAACGTTGCTTCCACGGGGACGCGCCATGGTTTTTTTAGTGGGCTAAAAATTAGCAAAAACAAAACAAAAAATATGAAGTTGTAGATCTTTTTGAGGTCTACAACCGTTATCTCATATTTTTTTATTTAGTTTTTTAGCTTTGACTATATTTTTTTTAATCAAAAACATAAACACAATGAAAAAAACAGAAACAAATAAAAATGAAATGAGTGTTTTTGTTTTTGCTTCCACAGAGATTTGTTTAGGGCTTAAGAAAAAAGCAGAAAAACTAACAAGGTTGTAGATCTTTCTGAAGATGCACAACAACATTTTTTTATTTTTTTATTTTTTTTTTAACTACATGTAGTTTTTTTATACGCAAAAACATAAGTGAAGGAACTGACGAGCATCATCAGTTTCAGCATGAGAATAGCATAGCAAGATACACCAATAGACTCCAACTATTACGCACGCTTTAATTGAGCAAAATCCAAACCATCGGAATCGACATGAAAAATACACCAAGGAAACACTTGATCGATCCAGAACTCAGCAAGAACAATGACTCGCTCCACAAGTCACGCGGCCTCTCCCCAACGCGTTTCGCCTACCCCGCATGTAGCCTCATCAGGAGGATTCAACCCAACAAACCAACTGCTCAAATATGGAGGTTAATCCCATCGCCTACCTCCTTATAAAGGAAATCATCCTACCCCTTTCCTCGGCCACRGTACARCACGTCTAACTCCAAACATCAAGGAAACGAAGAAAATACCACCGAAACAGAGTATACGAGAGTGATGAAAGCATGCTGACGATCCACACCGTCCACCAAGCACGTTCAACCCTACATCCGTYGTCGGCCCCATGTCTRTTGATACCTGCGCACACRGACAAGCAAAAACAACCAGGACAGCTCCTCYAGAAYGGAGGTGAAGCAAAGCAYGTCTTCGCGCAGCTAAGCAMTGCCAACGCAGCTATCCYGCCGYAGGYGCCGTTACCCCARCAGCTGGAGATGCCAGCAACCGTCAAGAGAAGCAACAACGTAACAACTCCGCAGCGATGATACAACCTCCGCTCAGAGGTGAATGAGGCACTGTCACTCAGCCAGCGCAAAGAAATACTATCAACACCAGGCACTGTATCTCTAGAGGCCCAAACAACCGTCCCATCGTCAGCCATGAAAGATCCCATGGCGCCCTTACGCGCCCCCCCCGGTACTCTGTACCGAAAAGCGACGAGGACCAAAAAACTGATGGACCAGAACCCAATATCGAAAAGCGACGAGGACCAAGAAACTGATGAATTAGGACCCAATAGGCGGCCAGATTCRTCAAAAAAAGTCCCCAAGAAAACAAAMTGTTCTGAGCAGAGCAGAGCAGTTCGGAGCAGAGCAGTTCGGCAACTACCGGAGACCTGAACAAGGACCAAAAATTCAAAAAAAGGAATAAGGAAAAACGGAAAAAGYTTCCGCCGWCAGACGTCCCACCCTCAGCTAGCATACAATTCCCCAGGTGAAAGGTGACGACCCTCCGTATGTGGAAAAACCRCCCAAAGGGWGGGCTAGCTTGGCAACGAAGCCAAACCCCCAATACCATCTGAATCATGCCTCCATCATGCGAGAAATGACAAAAGCCTCAGGTGATTTCATTTTCCTTGCAAATCTATCAAAGGCATTAGAGACGAGCCTGAGGGGATAGTCGCGCATGAGAAACTCCCTCCTGATAGCTAGGAAGGCTTGCATCCGACTGAAACCATCTGATGACCATCTATGAACCCTGTGAAGCGATCCCATTATCGAACCAATCTTGGTGCGCTTGGCCGAATAGGATCGAAAATCCTGATACGATCCGAAAACCAATCGACCTTCTCCCCAGTTCAGGTCGGCGTTCTTAACAAGGGCGATGGTCCGTACTGCTGTCCCAACTCTTTGAACAGACATGCCGGCGAAGGTCCAATGTTCCGAACCATCATCGGTCCGTTCCAAGCGTAGCTTAGAACCATAACAGCCCTTGAACTTCTCAAAAATTCGATGTGCATAATCATACCCAGATCGTCCAATCACAACCACAAAGAAACTAACATCATCGATGATCCGAAATCCGAAAACCAGGCGTCTATCACATCCCAAGCTATTCATAAAATTATATTCCGCCCACGCACACAATATGCATGCAAGTGAACAGCTAGAGGATTTTCCCATTGGGACCCCAATCCTTTGTCTGAGGAGCGTCTTCGCCGACCATATAAAAGCAAAACGAAGGTCAAAGACCACCATATTCCGAATCGCCTGCCAATTCAAAAACAGCCAATCATCCCTCCTTGCTCCAAAGGACAAGAAGATAAGACTACCTCTTATGGTGACATTAACGCCCTCATAGCCAGAGACAATGTATCTGGCCAATAGCCAATCCACCGCACAGAGAATATCATCGTGAGACAATGTCACAAACATATCCTTCACGTCGAAGGAACCTGCCACTAAGTCAACCAATCCTGGTAAGCGGCAGAGAGCCTGTTCCATGTTACCCAATCCGATACAAAAAAGATCTACGGCTTTCAAATTGAAACACAAACGAGCCGGGAGTCGAAAAAGCAGACAGTTCAAAGAACGGGCAACCCGAGCACAGGCCAACCGGGCTGGCTCAGAACAGGTGGGTGAGATGGGACGCCATCTCAGGAGATCCTTGTGTTTAGGTAGAACAAAGGTCTTGCCAAAAGTCCCCCTAGGGTCCCACTTCCCTATCTTATGCAGTCCCATCGTATGAAAGTTTATGCGCATCTCTGAAAGCAAGTTGCGAACATCACCATCATACCCAGCGAAAGAACAATTTCAATCGAAGGTCATCTTTTGGAAATGGGAATAGAGGAGGGGTCATATGACCAAAGTATCAGCAATGTTCCGATCAATAGGCACACAAGCAAACTGCCTGAGCTTAGCCAACCAACCGAAGAGATCCTGTTGAGCAGGAATCTCAGGAGTAACCAAGCAAGCCCGCAGATCATGTCGGTCAACAACAAAGGACGACCTCATGCTCTTGCAGATCCGAACTATTTCCTTATCCAGCTCCTCGATGGTGGAACCTGCGGTCCGCACCGGGATGTTCTTGGAGTTCCGAAGAATATCCGGGATACCTGGAATGTCCCCAATCCGGGTCATAATGTGCAAGCCGTGCCTCCCCCAATCAATTCCTCCATCAAAACAGCGACACTCCATATAGTCACCCCGAGAAACTCTCTTGTGAGTAAAGAGCAAGTCCCCAACATTTTTGTTCTTACGTCAAACAAACCGGACATGTGAGCACAAAAAATCAACAAAAACCGAAGAAAACATCGATCCCTTCACCGTCCGAACTGCCAGATCGTGAACCTTCCTGGTTGATATCCTATGATCATACGTAACTCGGACGACTACCCTACTCCGGACATCAAAGCCTATCCTCCTCTTTACCTCCTTGGCCACCATACCCTTAAGAAACGAACGCGTCTCTTTTCTAGAGAATTCCCTTGCGGCCTTGAACCAACGCATAAGCCTAACATCCGAATAGGAAGGTAAAACTCGCCGCCTCCAAGGTTAGTGCAGAAAAAGCTGTAATTGCCCTTTCAAAATTGATCTACCGGAAGGAGTGAAAATGAGCGGTCCAAACACAAAACTACCACCATACTGAAGCAATTGCTTTGCTTTCCTAAAAACAACGGATGGCGTGCCACACCGAATCAAAGTTGTTCCAAAACACCTCCGTATGGGTGACCATTTATCAGACCAAAAATTCCCTGGAAAGACGTCCAAAACCGCATGTCTAATCCCCAATTCAAACAACCTCCGTAACACCGAAAGGAGACTATCACACCACTCATCTCTGTCGACCCTAAACCTGATAAAAACACTAAAGCCTACGGGAATGATATCATTACCCTGCCTCTTATGATGCGACGGCCTGGTCCCAAACTTTTTACACCTGCGGGACCTTCTGGTGTTGAGAACGGGAGTAAAACTGCGAATGACAGCCTTCTCTACCAAATCAACAGTAGCCATGCCATTCGCAAGGGGAACGGGTATATACCTCCAAACACCAAAGAACTTCAACCATCTATATAACTTGGGACACACACCAAGAGCTCCATTAAAAGAGGTACATACATGTTCATTCCACCGGATGTAAAGCCCCCTAACGGAACTCCCAACTTACTGTTGCTTGCACCATGGAGAGGCAAGGAGATAGACGACCGGACCCCGATCCCAACATTTCCAATCAATAGCGCAAAACAATCTCTGAAATTTGATATTCCAAGTAATTTCTCCTAGGAGAGACAAAGCAATGAAACATAGGGAAATACATTTCTCAATAATCAAGCGATCTCTTAAGGGCACATTATCACGAAAAGCTTTGAGCCTACAACCCATCCAGTGCAGCAGATTATCCCACATCTTATTGCAAGCGAATTCCCTCAGTCACTTAGACTGAGAAGCTGCTCCCTGAGGCGACCCCGGCGCTGAAGTCGCAGGTGAGAACACAAAATCTTCGTAGGCTACCTTTGCCCGGGCCGCCACGATCCGATCGATCGTTGGTCCTTTCGTATCGCAATTGCAAGTCCTCCTGTGCGCAGATCCTCTTAAGCTCATCAATCTTCAGGGCACTTAACTCCCTTTTCTGGTCCAAGACGTACTGGAGCAAACCATCCGCCCCCGTCCCCGCCGGGACTTTCCTCCTTCGCTCCGCTGCATCACGAGAGCACTCCCCACGAATCGCTGGGTCATCGACCGAACCTGGCCCAGCGGAGAAGGATGGCTGGCGAAAATTCACGCCTCCCCGAACTGCCTCCTTCCCCCTACGTCTCTTCTCCCGGAGCAGCTCTAACCGCCGAATCTCCAAATCTATTTCGTCCTCATCTCCGAGCTCCTCCTCCATCCGATAATCCTCCTTTCTACGAGGAGGAGGAGACCAACCCCTCTTCAATTCCTCCCTCCGCGCTTCATCTTTTTGACCCAAATACTGTCGCCCAACTGTTGCCATCACCTCCGCCTTTGTTGCCTCTACATATCTCGCCATCTCCAATTTCAACTTCTCGTCAAACTTTCGTTGCTCGTCTAATTCACGTTTCCTCGCTTGCTCCTCCCTCTTCTCTTGGATTATCTGCCTGAGGAACTCACGTTCCTCAGCATCCTCTGGATTACGCCTGGGCGTCCAAAACCGAGGAGTCGTAGGTGCCGATGCAGAGCTCCCGTTACCATTCTGATTCTTGGTACTTGGGCATTCCCTCGCGAAATGGCCATCTCCATTACAGTTAAAACACTTCACCGGAGTCCCCATCTGGAAGATGCACCTGTACCAAGGGAATAGACACAGTACAAGACAAAAACACAGAGAAAAAAACGAAACCGAAACCCCCAGTACCGAAAATAGCGATGGAAGATGTCGCCAATAATGGGCAAAAACAGAGAGGATCGAAGGAAGCGATCTATGTGGAGAGCAAGAAAAAGAGGTGACCGTGCCAACAGCTCAATATGACGTGCTGAATCAATCACCATGCCTGATCAAGATTCTGCATGTCCCTATGGCATCATCGTAGAACACAACGATCCTAATCAAAACTTCATAGTCTCCAATGACAATCGCGATCCTAAGAACCACCCGCATCATGGCAAACCCGGGGCGGACTATTCCCGGAAAGTAGAATCCACCCACGAAAACACTGCGAGGGCCAAGGATATGATAGAACACACCCCGAACTCGAGACAAGATAGATTGCGATAGTAGAACTAAATGCGAGCGCCACGTCACTACCAAAATCGAAAAACTGATCAAAACAAAGGTGTCACTCAAACACTGAACTAAACAATGATAGTAGTGCCAATCTACCAACAAACCAGCAATAGCAGTACCAATAATACCATCAAATCGCTAGTCAACTAAGCGATAATCAACTAAGCTAATGCGCAGCCACCAACCAATGTACGAATGCATTAACGGTTGCCGCGGATCCCAGAAGTGAAGGAACTGACGAGCATCATCCGTTTCAGCATGAGAATAGCATAGCAAGATACACCAATAGACTCCGACTATTACGCACGCTTTAATTGAGCAAAAACCAAACCATCGGAATCGACACGAAAAATACACCAAGGAAACACTTGATCGATCCAAAACTCAGCAAGAACAATGACTCGCTCCACAAGTCACGCGGCCTCTCCCCAACGCGTTTCGCCTACCCCGCATGTAGCCTCATCAGGAGGATTCAA